GTGCAAGAATGGTGGACAGGATTGGAGGAGAGAAACTTGGCACTCAAATTGTCACACCAGAAGACAGGTGGGCGAGGGAGCTTCAATCCAAGCTCCGTGAGTAACATCTGGAACCAAAGAATTTCAGCGGCAATTGAGGCAAGACTACGGTATTCTGATTCTGTGTTGGAGCGGGAAACCGTGGACTGTTTACGAGAACTCCATGAAATCAAATTACGACCCAGGTAAACACAAAAACCACCTTGAGAGTGGCGATCAACAGGGCAACTAGCCCAGTTAGCATCAGAAAAGGCTTTGAGAGCTAATTCTAGAGAAGCACGAAAAGTAATGACATGACGAATTGTGGACTTGGGATAATGAAGGATCCGCTTGACTGCACTCTAATGAACATCAGTGGGTTCTTTCATAAACTAGCAAACTTTGTTAACTAAGAGGCTGATGTTTGGCCTAGTAAGGGTAACATACTACCGTGCCCCCACCACACTACGATATTTGGTGGCATCTGGAAGAGGAGAACCATTGCTCACATCAAGTCTGGTAGATGCTGCCATCAATGTATGAATGGGTTTAGCCTCATGCATCTTGGTCCTAACGAGAAGATCATGAATATATCTACGTTGGGATATGTGCACCCCATCTGAACTGCAATGCAGTTCCAAACCCAAAAAGTAATGAGCTTCCCCAAGATCTCGAAGAGCAAAGGTAGTAAAGAGCTAAGAGATGAGCTGAGTAAGTGTAGAAGTAGAAGAGCCAGTGATCAATAAGTCATCCACATATACAAGAAGAAAAATGACATCAGTGCCAGTCTGCTGCATGAATAAAGAACTATCTGCTTGGGATTCCAAAAAACCAAGGTGAACCAAATGATCCCTTAATCGAGTAAACCAGGCCCGCAGGGCTTGTTTCAAACCATAAAGGGAACATTTAAGATGACATACAAAATACGGCCATGTTGGATCAACGAAATCCATAGGTTGTTTCATAAATACTTCTTCACTGAGATAGCCATGAAGGAAGGCATTGATCACACCAAGTTGTCTAAGATTCCAGCCATAGTGAACTGTGGGAGATATTATTAACTGAATTAGTGGTTGGTTTAACCACTGGATTAAAAGTCTCAGCAAAGTCAATACCGACTTGTTGAGTAAACCCTTACGCCACCAATCGCGCCTTGTATCTTTCAATGCACCCATTCGGATGTCTCTTAATTTTATAAACCCATCTATTTCCCACAATGTTCTTATGAGGTGGAGGTACAAGATCCCATGTATCATTGCGCAACAACACTTTGTTCTCATCTTCCATGGCGAGTACCCAACGGGGATCTTTCTTGGCAAAAGTGTAGCAAGAGGGTTCAACATCAGGGCCAATAGAGGCTTCCAAAGCATATCGAGGCTTTGTCTTGCAAATGCCACTTTTGCTCCATGTCATCAAGGGGTGAGCATTAAGTGGGGTCGCAGTGGACCAAGAGGGCGTATCTGATGGGGTTGATGATGATGGTAGCAATTCGGTAGAACTAACACCAGTAGATATAATAGGTGGGTAAGGGGAGGTGGAGTCGAGGGGTACGGGAATGGTTTGAGGAGAGGTGCACGGGTATGTAACAATAGGAGGGCCAACCATAGTGTCGGTAGGCGATTTGGGAGGTGGAGTTGGGCTACCAGAAGTGCATGGGAAGGTATGTTCATTAAAAACCACATTACGGGAAATATATAGTCCAGATGTTAAGTCAAAGCATTTGTACCCTTTGTGATGTAAACTATAACCCAAAAATAAACAACGCTTGGATTGATAGTCCAACTTAGAATGGTTATAGGGTCTGAGATGCGGATAGCAATAACATCCGAAAGTGCGCAACATAGTGTAATTAGGTTTAGTGCCAATGAGACACTCTAAGGGAGAATTCATGTCCAGTATTGGAGAAGAGAGCCGGTTAATTAAAAAACTGCAGTCTCAAAGGCATTATACCAGTAATGTTTGGGCATTGAAGCCATAGCCAGGAGGGTGAGACCCATTTCAACAATATGGCGATGATGTCATTCTACAGCTCCATTTTGTTCATGAATATGAGGACATGAAAGACAATGACTGATGCCTGAATCAGAGAGAATAGGGAGAAGTGGTTTGTATTCTGTACCTCCATCTGAAACAACAAAAATAATGACAACCTGAGTTTTGGAGGTCATAGGAAAAATCCATATATACTTGCTGTAAGCATCAACAAAAATCAAATAATAGCGAAAACCATGTCTTGTAGAGACAGGGGCTGGTCTCCAAACATCAGAAAATAAAAGTTCTAATGGATACTTTGCAACAAAAGTACTACTAGAAAATGGCAAGGTATGACTCTTACCTAGTGGATAAGATGGACAAAAAGAGATGTCTTTATTTGAAACTGAAAGCTGAAATGAAGATAAGATGTGGGTAGCTACTCGCTTGTTGGGATGTCCTAGCCGCTGATGCCTTATTGAAAACGATGTTTTCTCACCAATGAACGCCAATGGAGCTGTAGATGTGCAATTTGTCTTTAGCTGATAGAGCCCTCCCTTAATCGGCCCTTGGAGGAGAGTTTTCTTGGTCGCTTTGTCCTTAACAAAGAAGCCAGTAGCGTCAAAAATAAATGTTGCATTATTATCCTTGCAAAACTAGCTGACAGAGAGCAAATTCTTATTTATATTAGGAACTCTGAGAATATTTTTCAAGACAATGGACCAAGAATCAGTATTCAAAATAGAAGAGCCAATATGAGAAATGTCTAGACCCGTACCATTGCCGACCAGGATATGATCTGTTCCATGATACTCATCGTAAAGAGAGAGATTCCCAAGATCTAAAGTCATATGATTGGTTGCTCCAGAATCAGGATGCCAATTTTCATCACGAGCAGATCGTGAAGATGAGGTTGTATGAGCTTGCTTGGTAGGCTTATTCGCAGTGAGTTCTAGATAATGGCGACAAGTAGCTGTTGTATGGCCAGGATACCCACAGAGTTGACAAACCACGGTGGTGCTCTTGGAATTGGATCTGCTGCGATTATTGTTATTATAGGAAGTTTTCTTGGAGTTGTTAGAACCACCATCATTATTAAATTGTCGAGGCTTATAAGAAGAGGACAGATTGCGATTGAAGAGAATCCAAATTAGCAGAAAGAGAATCCAATACAGGTTGTGAAGAGTGGCGCTTTAAGCGCTTTTCAAAGGTAAATAACAGACTTTGAATTTCAGCAAAAGAAAGACTATTTAGTCTAGTAGTCACAGAGAGCACAAAGGTATCATATTTAGTCGGTAAACCACCAAGAAGATAATGAATTTGATCAACATCAGTGAGAAAGTGTCCAGAAGTAGCTAAAGCATCAGATAAACTTTTAATTTTCTGAACATAATTAGTGAGAGTGGGAGCACCCTTCTTCAGATAAGCTAATTCTAATTTCAAATCATGGATTCAAATTTTACTAGTAGATAAAAAGAGAACATGAAGTCGATCCCATACCTCTCTGGATGTCTTACAACCAATTACTTGAATCAGAATTGACTCTGTTAATAAAGATAATAACCAGCTTATAATCAACTAGTCTTGTTTGATCCATGCTGCATGATCTGGGTTGCTACGGATAGATCCTTAGCTACTGCCATCTTCCAAGAAGAGTGGAGGACAAGGAAAAGATCCGTCCACATAGCCGTATAAACGATGCCCTCTGAGAGCTGGTGTAGTTTGAGAGCTCCAAAGCAGGAAGTTAGTACGATCCTGTTTTACTAAGACCACATTCATAAAACTAGAAAGGGAGACCACCATAATGGTTCGACCATTTGTCGGTCCAGGCCACATTTGTCTCTGGACGGCATGAGTAGTGGTGCTTGTTTCTGAAGCCATGACATTTGTCAAAATGGCTCTGAAACCATATAAGAGCAATACTAAAAAAACAATGAGAATGGAATGACTCAGTCAATGATGATTGGTCTCTTGAACTATTTAAATAGAGAAGTTACAAGAGGATAACTATGTACAAAGATAACAATTACAAAGTTAGAGTTTATCTAGAAAATTACATTATAATGAGATTAGGTGATCAATTACCTAGATAACCATGATTAGTTATCTAGGATAGCTATGAGAGATACCCATCCCAGTTACAAGTCTATCATAACTATTGAGATACTCTAACAAAAATGATGATATTATCATTAAGAAAGGTTTCCAATACATGAGGGAAATGTGTTATGAGACGTTGTAGGGGACAATTTTGAAGAGTTGATTTGATCTCTTCATACTTGTAACTTTACTGCCCCATTTCTATTTTTCTATTGTATTGCCAACGGGCTCATGACATCCCCACATGCATATCTCATGCAGCTTGCTCAAAGAGTTGCTGTGGGGCGCCAATCTAATTTTTTTTTTGTTTTTTTTTTTTTGTGAGGTCTGATTATAACAGAAGAGACTTGAGGGAACATCTCTTATAATTGGGGATGTTTCTAATACATGGGTGGCATGCAGTATCTTGAGAGTTGAGATTCATCCACTATTTCTTTTATTAATCCAAAATTCCGATTGATCTGACTTGGTAGAAGCCTTTCTAAATTATGCCATTGCCATTAGCTTGCCAATGAGAGTGTTTTACCAAATAATGTTTATGTTTTATAACATAAAATATGTTTCAAAAATAAACTACGAATTTTTATTCTTCCTAAATTGTTATTTTTCCCCTTAAAACAGCTTGGTTGGCTCGGCCGTTTGGACCATGACCAACCTCACCGGGTCTAGGTAGTTGGATTGGTGATGTAAATACGAGGTTGTCTTTTTCTCTGTCCCCGACCCCAACAGGACCAACAGGAGCTCTTTAACTTGCAGAGCTAACACTTCGGTTTTCTTTTGAGGCCTGAAATGGTTGACCGTCTTTTTCCATTTGACCTGTAAAACAGAGCCGCCCCCATTCAATTAAAAAAAAAAAAAAACTGCTGGATGCCTCGATCCTCTCTCTCTCTCTCTCTGAGGTCTGAGTATATATTGACATAAATGACATGCTAATCACCTTCCCCTTACGGCTTTCGCTCTGTTTCACTCCGGCCATCTATTGAAATGACTACGCCGGAGAAATTCATCAGCGCCATACTTCTATCGTTTCTGTGCATTCCATCCATACTAGGAGTCAGTTCCTCACCTGCTTTCTACACGTACAACAAGACGGACTTTCAGACAGAAGACTTAGCCGGCAATTTGACTGCTAAAGGCAACGCCTCCATCAATGGAGGAGCTCTTCAGATAACATTGGATTCCAGCAATACGGACTACCGGGCCTTAAACAACTACGGCCGGATCATGCTCAATCGACCCTTCAAGCTCTGGGACGAAACCTCTGGCTCCGTCGCCTCCTTCTACACCAGCTTCACCGTCAACTTCTTCCGCCCCGACAACCAAACTGCCGCTGAAGGATTCGCTTTCGTCATCGCCCCTAATCTCACAATCCCTTCAGACAGCTATGGCCAGTGGCTCGGCCTAACAAATGCTTCCACCGACGGCAACCCCTCGAACAAGCTAGTCGCCATCGAACTAGACACTGTACGACAGGGCTTCGACCCAGATGACAACCATATCGGTCTCGACATCAACAGCGTGAACTCCGCCGTAGCAGTCTCGCTCAACAAGTCCAACATCATACTGGCTCCTGTGACTATCAAGAGATACGTGGTTTGGATCGATTACAATGGTACGTCCAAGGTGATGGACGTCTACATGGCCGAACAAGGGCAACCCAAGCCGAGCAGCCCTCTTATTAATTACGGCATAAATCTCACAGACTACGTAGCACCGTCATCTTACTTTGGATTCTCTGCTTCCACGGGAAACACCACGTACCAGCTCAACTGCGTTCTGAGTTGGAATCTGACGGTGGAGATGCTCCCTGAGGAGAAAGATCAGACACAGAAGAACATTGCGATTGGGGTTGGTGTCGGAGGAGGGGTGGTTGTGGTGGCGTCCTTGGTGGGGGTGGTGTATTTTATTCACAGGAGGAGGATGGCCAACGATCCGAGGATAATGGGGACGCTGAAGAGCTTGCCTGGGCATCCAAGGGAGTTCAGATTCAAGGAAATGAAGAAGGCGACGAACAACTTTGATGAGAAGATGAAGCTTGGACAGGGTGGATTCGGGATGGTTTATAGAGGGGTACTGCCCAAGGAAAACCTCGAAATTGCTGTGAAGAAGTTCTCGAGAGACAGTGTGAAAAGCAAGGATGATTTCTTATCGGAGCTTTCAATCATTAACCGTCTCCGGCACAAACATCTCGTCCGTTTAGTTGGTAAGTCTTTATGACCCCTTCTTCTTGCTTATCTTCATCTCGTCATCGTCATCGTTATTATTTCTTTATATATAATTTATTGATTTATTCAGCAGGAACAGCAACACCGGATTTCATATATATAAGCCTAGGAAGATAATAAAAGTATAAAACCCTCTGCTATATCCCAATTCCATGATATTTATACGCTCCGTTGACACAGAATTGAAAGCTTTTTTTTTTTTTTTCCTCAAAACAGACACGCAATCGAAAGTTCAAAATTTGCATCTTTCCCAAATTCTTTTTAATCACAGAATTGGACCCAAAGCAGAGAATGTGGAAAGTTGCGGATTTCCACCTCTCTCTCTCTCTCTTCCTCCCCTCGTCCCTTTCATTTTTTGTTCCAGATTTCCACCTCTCACTTGAATGATCTTTTTGATGCATGCATGTTTACCAAAAAAACAAAAACGAGTCGTAACTAGCGAAAACGGGCTTGAAAATCCATTATTCAGTGTTTGAGTTCAAATGTGAACTATGAAAACAAAAGCATAGCAGGAACCAAGAAGTTTCCGCTTGTTTGCCCTTTGCGACTCAATATACCCGATGATTTGTCGATTCAGGATTTAGAAATCCGATTAGATTAGACCGAGTATGGATCTACCCCGGTAGTCGGCCTACGCCATCTTCTATCTCTTGCGTTGGATTTGTTCAGTCTATTTGATTAATATATATATATATATATATATATATT